AAATCCATGCTTCTGCAAGTCTCTGAAAAAAATTATTTTTAAAATTCCAGCTTCAGGAAGTCCCTGAAAAAAATATTTCAAAAAATTCACGCCTATAGAAGTCCCCAAAAAATATTTTAAAAAAATCACAAAAAAAATAATAATTCAAGTCCCCAAAAAATTTAAAAAAATTCACAGAAGTCCCCGTAAAAAATATTTTTTTTTAAATCCACTGTTTTAGAAGTCTTTGAAAAATTACAAAAAAAAAAAAAACTAAAGAATCCCTAAAAGGTTTTCAGTTTCGACTCTAAAATTCCCTGAAAAAGTCCGAAAAGCTCAATAGAGGGGAAGTCTGTAAGCACATGGTGAGAGTGCATGGGAGAGTATGGATATCAATACTCTATTCTCATCACCGAACGGCTTATTTGTCACTCATCCCGTATGTTTTAGGAAGTTGTAGTTGTATCATAAGTACCATATCAAAGATATTTTAAACTAACAGATAACGTACTCTTTTTGCGATAAATTTCAACAAAACACCATAATTTCTCGCATCAAAATGAGAATCTTTCAGAAAAATTTGAGGAATTTTGTCTTAAGCCATTTCCGCCAGGCCATGATCATTTCACCAATCTAAAAGGTTGTTGTTCTCAACTATATTTCCAAAACCCATCACTCCTATTCCGATTTCCCTTTTTGACATGTATGTAATAGTATTTGTTTCATTTATTCCCAATTCATTTCAATTTTTTGTTGAGGACATTCCCCGTTCTGCTTTTTGCACTCACTATGTCAGCCATAAATTTACTCGGGTCGGCATTTTTATTTGTTTTATTTTTATATTCCGAACACACATGACATGAAAGAAAAAAAAAACGGAGAATACTCACTTTACTTTCATGATCAAATTGAACATTTGCGGGGCTGGTTCATTTATTTGGGATATGAATCACTTGAAATCATGTGGTGAGAGTGCCTTCATAAGGAGATGATGCGTAGTCGTCGGCATAAAAATTATTTGGTTTTTTTTTGATATTTTTATTTTAACAAAATCCGCACAATGTAGACCCATGTTGTCGAAATCTTGTTTTATGTTTTTTCTGTTTTGGGCAAAATCAATTTGTCACAAAATATTGAAAACAAATGTCTTCATTTAGCCAAGACAACTTGGTCCCGGCAATATTTTCATTCACAAAATTTGAAAAAGAAAAAAAAATGGTATTTATTTAGAAATTTATGTTTGAGTGTGGGCAGTTAGACTGACATGGAATTTGCCACTTACTCGTATTGAAATTTGTTTTCAAATAAAATCGACAAAAAAATTTTTTTTAAGCATTTCTTTTTGATGATTTTATTATTTATTGAACATTTAAATGAGATGAAGTCATTGTTTTGCGCACAATGATTCATTTAAACGTGTTTATTTTTTTGGTATTTTTTTAAGACTCTATTTGTTTATAGAAAAAAATGGGGTTTTATTATTAAAAAAAATTAAAGAAAAATTAGGAAACAAATTTTTGTCACTTGTCAGAGCAGTGCCAACAAAATTTTGGGTGTATATTTTAGGTCCTCGCCAAGTGAGCTTTAATAAACCAAATTTTTTTTGGATCCTTCGACTTGTATTTTTCTGTTCTGCTAATGTGAGGATATTTCAATCCAAATAATTTTTTCTCGAGTGTATATTTTGGCCCTGAGACTAGCAAATATTACTTTTATTTGTATTATTTGTAATACAAGATCTTTACATATAAAATACAGGATGAGATGAAAAAACTACATCCAACTTCAGACTGCTGTCATTTCTAAGTCACTCGTCCGTAAGCTGTTAAAATTATTCCAGCGGCAGCTCATTATATTCTTTACAAGCTTAAAAAAGCATTTTGGTGAGAATCTCCCAGAAAAAAATTTATTCGTGATGGAATAAAAGCGTGATAGCGGAATTTCTTTATATTCGGCTGGAAAACCGCAAGTGGCTATCTTTAGAGCACTCCAGCATCTAAATGTGAGTAAATTTTTTGTGCCTCGTCTCGTACCATCGCTCGTTACCGTGATATTGGTAGCGTAGCCCGACGTCAAGGAAGTGGACGGAAGAAAGCAGTAACATCAGCAGAAATGATTCGAAAAGTAAAGAAGAGACTTGATCGAAATCTGCGTCGCTGTGGCCGAAAAATGGCTGCTGAGCTGAACATATCGCAATATTCCATTCGGCAAATATTGAAAAATGATCTCGGGGTAAAGCCATTGAAATTCCAAAAAGTGCAAGAACTTACACCGCAACCGAAAGAAAATAGACTCAAAAGAGCTAAAGAGTTGCTTCACTTTGCCGAAAGTTGTGGTTTTCTTCGATGAGGAAACATTCGTTGTCCAGCGGTTTGTAAACAAACAAAACGTCACCATGGCCGTCGCTTGAGTTCTGTTGGCCAACCGCAATGTGCACATTTTCAGCTGACCTCTTTGGCAAGTAAACACCTTGCGTGCCCAAGGCTTTAATAACCCTCCAGAATATTTTCGCCATAATATTCGGAATTTATTCTGATTAATGCGAGCAGAGAACGACCATCGGCTGTTATGGTGGCCCACACCATCGTCACCATGGCCGGCGCTTGAGTTCTGTTGGCCAACCGCAAGGTGCACATTTTCAGCTGACCTCTTTGGCAATGTGAACCTTGCGGTTGGCCAACAGAACTCAAACGCCGGCCATGGTGACGATGGTGTGGGCCACCATAACAGCCGATGGTCGTTCTCTGCTCGCATTAATCAGAATAAATTCCGAATATTATGGCGAAAATATTCTGGAGGGTTATTAAAGCCTTGGGCACGCAAACATTCTGGCCGCAGACCTTGGACATTTCAACAGGGCTCCTCACCACCATCAGCACGCGCCACCCAAGTATGGTTAAAAAATAAGGTTCCGCGCTTCATTTCCAGCGCACAATGGCCACCAAAATCTCCGGATACCAATCCGTTCGACCATTGTGTCTGAAGTATTTTGGAAAGGCACGGTAGGTACTAAAAATACCAAAGTGTCGACCACCTGAAGCAAGCGCGTCACCGGGAATGGGCCAAAATGCCACAGAGCAACATTCGGGCAGCATGTGACGGTTTCATTGGCCGTTCTTGAAGGCCATAATTCGTGCCAAAGGTGTCCAATTCGAACAAAACTAAACTTATTCTAAAATTTGATGCTATTTCCGACATTTTTTGCTTTCATTTAATACAATTTAAAAATAACTAAAAATTATGGCGTTTGACTTTGTTGCAGTTTTTTATCTCACCCTGTATATTTCATTTTTAGGGTCCTCCGATTTAGCGATGTCTGCCCGTCTGTCCGTCTCTGGAAATCACTCTAGCTTCCGAACGAAATGAAGTAGGTTAATAAAATTTCACTCAAATGTATATTATGTCAGCTGAACTTTTGGTATTGAAAATGGGCCATGTAGGTCCAGGTATAGCCCCCATATAATGGTACCTCCCTACTTTCGGTATTTTGGTGATTTAAGCGGCATTATTCACCGGAAATGTTTCAAATTTGGTATTTGAAGTTCGTAATGGATACTACAGCCTATGACAGAAAAATTTCTGTACAGATCTACGCCTTCGTATAGCCCCCATATAACGGTACCTCCCGATATTCGGTATTTTAATGATTTTAGTGACATTATTCACCGGAATTGTTTTAAATTTGATATTTGAAGTTCGTAAGGAATACTACAGCCTATGACAGAAAATTGTCCGTGCAGGTTCACGTCTTCGTATAACCCCCATATAATGGTACCTCCCGATATTCGGTATTTCAATGATTTTAGCGACATTATTCACCGAAAGTGTTTCAAATTTTGTATTTGAAGTTCGTGACGGATACTACAACCTATGACAGAAAATTTTCTGTGCAGGTCCACGTCTTCGTATAGCTCCCATATGACGGTACCTCCCGATATTCGGTATTTTCATGATTTTAGCGACATTATTCACCGGAATTATTTCAAATTGCGTATTTGAAGTTCGTAATGAGTGCTACAGCCTATGGCAGAAAATTGTCTGTGCAGGTCCAAGTCTTCGTATAGCGTCCATATAGTGGTACCTCCCGATATTCGGTATTTTGATGATTTTAGCTACATTATTCACCGGACTTGTTTCAAATTTAGTATTTGAAGTTCGTAACGGATGCTACAGCCTGTGACAGAAAATTTTCTGTGCAGGTCCACATATTCGTATAGCCCCCATATAACGGTACCTCCCGATATTCGGTATTTTCATGATTTTAGCGACATTATTCACCGGAATTGTTTCAAATTTGGTAGTTCGATTTCGTAATGGATACTACAGCCTATGACAGAAATTTGTCTCTGCAGTCCACATCTTCGTATAGCCCCCACATAACGGTTTTCATTTAGGTAATAGTTTTCGGAATTTTTTGGAAATTTTTCAAATTCCTTCCAAATGGTGAAGGGTATTAAAAGTTCGGCCCGGCCGAACTTAGCTGCTTTTTTTTTTTTTGGATGTCAATACTAGTCTGCCGACGATCTGTCTTTTACCCCAACTGGAGTTGAAATATCTCCAAAATGGGGAACAAAGACGATCCTCCCCATTTTAGATATTACTTTCTCATTGTTGGGATAACTCTCCCAAATTAGGGGTAGTTTATCCACAGTATGTGAAAAATATATCCCAAATGGGGGATAATTTTTTTCCTAATTTGGGGATATTTTCCCCCCAATTTGGTCATAAATAGTCATCAGTTTGGGTGTAAGTCATCGCTATCAAGGAGATATTTTATCCCCAGAACAGGGACAAAATTATCCCCAAGTTGGAGATAATTGTCCCCAGTTTGTGAATGGTTTATCCTCAGAACAGAAAATATTTTCTGAATTTAGGAGCATTTTAACCCCAGTATGGGACTAAATATCCCCAGCATAACTTACCCCAAATATGGGGTATAGTTCATAATTTCCCAATTATTATATATTTTTTTTTTCAAATTTTTATTTCAAAAAATTTACGCTACTGTGATTTCTACTTACTCCTGCCCGTTGTCGTATCGAAGTTACTGCCGCCACTGCCCGCACTGCACATGCTCGTCTGCAACACCTGAACGGGATGATTTTCGTCCATAATGTAATCCTGTTGCTGTTGCTGCTGATAACAATGACTGCTGCTGCCGTTGCCCTGTTGTTGGGCAGCCCGACATTGGGCTGCCGCCTGTGCGGCTGCTGCCATATCATACTGTATCGCCCGCTGTTGATAATCCAAAAATGCATCGTCCCTTTCACCCCTCAAGCAGGAGGCAAACCCCCGTGAGTTGGAGGATCTTCGCTGGCCATGGGGCACTGCCAAGGCGGTGGCATCTTTTTCCAGCGAACGACAATAGAGATGTGTTGTTGTGGTCCTCTGCAGAGATTGTGATTTATTGGTGAGGGCAGAAGGGGAGCCCTGATGACCCAGCAGTGCACTGCTGTGTTCAATGGGCAGCGGTGACGTCAGTGTCACCTCACTGTGTATGATGTGTAAAGGGGTGACTGCTAGGGCGGCAGTTGCCGAGGAAACAGATGCTCCACCAGCAGCGTTACGCTTTTCATCTGAGGGCGGTATTGCTACGCAGTTCATTGTGAAGGTGGAGGAGGAATTGGATTCAAAATCAAATGCGTTTTTCTTCCTTCTTCTTTTTTTTTTTTTTTTTTGGTGTTTTGTCGTTGGGTATTTTTTTTTTGGTATTTATTTTTGTTGTTGTTATTTGTTGTTGAGATTTTTCGATTTGTTTTGGTGTGTTTTTCTGTTTTTCTTTTCGGATTTTTTGGTATAAAATTAAGTTGAATAAATAATTGATTTAAATACTACAAATTCTGAATTTGTTTAGAGTAAACATTTGGTGGTGGCAGTGTTGTTTTGATTATTCGAATGTTTGCGTTTCGATTTATTGGTTGGAATTAATTTTTCAGATTTTTTTTATTTTTGGTATTGCTGCTTATGACGAAGTTTTAGCTTGATTTGTGTAGAAAAAATGCACCTGCGTTCCTTGTTGTTGTAAAACGGTTGAATTCCGACGTTCTAGACCATTTTTGTTAGGTAGAAATTTGCTGGAAAAGAATTGACATTGACAAGGTTAAAATTTGAAAGAGATCTATAATTCTGGGTGAGTTACCAAGTTGAGTTGTTGTTGTTTTGCAAAAAGTTTTTCCCAGACCGTTTCGGAAAATTTTTGTTTTCAAAATAATAAAAAACGAATCCCCCTCCAAGGTTTCCCTTTCAAATTTCAACTGTTTTCAACACCTTAATTAAGAAATTTCGTCTGCTCAGACCAGACCACTGAAAACAACACCATCGGAAATTGATATTGAAAATTTCTAAAAATATCTCTTTGTTCAATATCTGGTTTTTTCCTCTAAGGTAAACAATAGCATGAAAAATCTATTTTCTATTGTGGTTGTTTTATGTTGTGTTGATTTAGATATAGGCTGTCGAACTGACAGCTGGTTGAAATTCTTAAAAAAAAATAAACATAAAATTGCACGTCAAACAATTAAAAAAAAAAAAACTGCAATTTCGGCCGGGCCGATCTTTGAATACCCTCCACCATTTGCAACGAATTTGGCAAATTTAAAAAAAAAGAAATGAAATCCCTAAAAAATTCTCTTAAAATCTTAAAAATACCAAATACAGCCGTTATATTAGGTTATATACAACGACGTTGACCTACATAGGCTACTTTTGTCATAAGCCATTGGAATATTCAAATGCGAAACTTGAATAAAAAAAATTCGGTGAATAATGTAGCTAAAATCATCAGCATTTTTGGTATTGAAAATGGACCATGTAGGTCCACGTCTTCGTATAACCCCATATAACGGTACCTCCCGAGAGTCGGTATTTTGATGATCTTAACGATATTATTCACCGGAATTGTTTCAAATTTAGTATTTGAAGTTCGTAATGGATACTACAGCCTGTGACAGAAAAACTACAAAAGTTATATAACCTTAAAATTATGCAAAAAAAAAAACAAATAAAAAAGCTGTAAGTTCGGCTGGGCCGAACTTTGAATTCCCTCCACCATTTGGAACGAATTTGGCAAATTTCAAAAAAAAAAAAAATGAAATAAAATAAAATCCCTTAAAAATTCTGTTAAAATCTTAAAAATACCGAAAGAAGCCATTATATTAGGGTCTATAGGACGACGTGGACCTGCATAGGCAACATTTGTCATAAGCCATTAGAATATTCAAAAGCGAAACTTGAAAAAAATCAGAGAATAAAGTAGCTAAAATCTTCAAAATACCGAATATCGATAGGTACCATCATATGGGTGCTATACCAAAACGTGGACCTGCACAGACAACTTTTTGTCATAGGCTGTAGTTTCCACTACGAACTTCAAATGCTAAATTTGAAACAATTCCGGAGAAAAATTTAGCTGAAATCATGAAAATAAAGAATATCGGGCGGTGACGTTATATGAGGGCTATACGAAGGCGTGGACCTGCACAGACAAATTTCTGTCTGAGGCTGTAGTGTCCATTACGAACTTAAAATACCAAATTTGAAACAATTCCGGTGAATAATGTCGCGAAAATCATCAAAATACCGAATATCGGGAGGTAGCGTTTTATGGGAGCAATACCAAAAAGTGGACCTGCACAGACAATTTTTTGTCATAGACTTTAGTATCCATTACGAACTTCAAATACCAAATTTGAAACAATTACGGTGAATAATGTCGTTAAAATCATCAAAATACCGAATTATCGTTAGGTACCGATATATGGGGGCTATACGAAGACGTGGACCTGCACAGGCAAATTTTTGTCATAGGCTGTAGTATCCATTACGAACTTCAAATACCAAATTTGAAACAATTCCGGTGAATAATGTCGCTTGAATCACCAAAATACCGAAAAAGGGAGGTACCATTGTATGGGGGCTATACGAAGACGTGGACCTGCACAGACAATTTTCTGTCTGAGGCTGCAGTGGCCATTACGAATTTGAAACAATTCCAGTGAATAATGTCGCTATAAGTATAAAAATATCGAATATAGGGGGATACCATTATATGGGTGCTATGCCAAAACGTGGACCTGCACAGCCAATTTTTTGTCATAGGCTGTAGTATCCACAACGAACTTCAAATACCAAATTTGAAACAATTCCGGTGAATACGTCGCTTAATCATCAAAGTACCGAATATAGGGTGGTGCCGTTTTATGGGGGCGTGCACCTAAATGACCCATTTTCAATACCAAAATTCCTGCAGGCATAATACACATTTGAGTAAAATTTTATCAACCTACTTAATATTGTTCGGAAGCTAGAGTGATTTCCAAAGACGACAAAACGGACAGATGGACGGACATCGCTATATCGACATAGAATTTTATGCTGATCAAGAATATATATATACTTTGGGGGTGAGGTACCAGAAGTGGTTCGCAGATATATACCCTCTTCACAGCAGATCATGCGTTAACAAAAATGTGTGTATGTGTGAAATTTGAAGGGGGTTGGATTCTTATTTCGCTTTCTTTGAGCCTTTGGTTTTTTTTAATTTGAACCCTATGTGGGGGAGCTACCAGAAGAAATGGTCCAATCTCCACCAACTTTATAACATATCTTGTGTTGATGGAAATATTGAGATGTACCACGTATGAATGGAATCGGATGATTTATGAGCATCATGGATATTCAAAATTTTGACCATTTGTGGGGTAAGTGGACCGATATATCACATCTTCACAGCAGATTTTGTGATTGCATAAATAATAGGATGGGTGAAATATAAAGAGAACCGGGTGCTTATTTCGGGTTTTAAAATCGTTTTGGTTATTCAAGGAGGAGGAGGTACCAGAAGGATATCTACCATCTTTATAACTGATCTTGTGTTGATGGAAATATTGAGTTGGACCAAGTCTGAATGGAATCGGTTGTTAATTCCGCGTTTTATGAGCTTCATGGATATTCAAAATGTTCAGCCTCTATGGGGGAGGTACCAAAAGGAGTGGACCGATATATTCCATCTTCAGACCCGACCTTGAATCAATAAAAAAATTGTGATGTGTGTAATTTGAAGACAATCGAACTGTTACAACCCATTTTATAAGAGTTTTAATTATTCAAAATTTTGACCCTTAGTGGGGGAGGTACCAGAAGGAGTGGACTGATATATCCCATCATCAGACTAGATCTTATGTTAGTAGAAATAATGGGATGTGTGAAACATGAAGAGAACCGGATGCTTATTTCGGATTTTATAGTCGTTTTGCTTATTCGAAACGTTGATCCTTTGTGGGGAAGGTACCAGAAGGAGTAAACCAATATATTCCATCTTCACACCCGAACTTGGGTTAATAAAAATATTGTGATATGTGTAATTTGAAGACAATCGGAGTCTAACATCACATTTTATAAGAGTTATAATTATTCAAAATTTTGACCCTTTGTGGGGGAGGTACTTAATGGAGTAGACCGATATTGTCCATTTTCACACCTGACCTAGCTCTGACGCAAATATTAGGATTTGCAAAGTTGGAACAAAATCTGATTATCCTTTCTCTTTCTTTGAGGTAAATTATTTTCTTTGAAAATGTTGACATTTTGTGGGGGAGGTACCAAAAGGGGTGGAGCGATGTTGCCCATCTCCGAACTCAATCTAAGTTTAATAATAATATTACGAAGAACCAAGTTTGGACCAAATCGAATGTTATCGTGCGCACAAGCCAGCCATACAGACAGACGTACAATGATAGATCGACTCCAAATGCCCCGAAACTGATTTGGTCCAAAGATACCTAGAGTCTAAAGCCGTTATTTCGAGGAGGCACGTTTTTTATCTGTATAAAATGATATATAACCTGTGTAGCTATATGGCTGAAGATATAAAAAACTAAGATCGTTATATGAAGTAAAAAATTGTTGAAAAGGTGGAACTGGTAAAAAAATGATCTGTTTATGAATTATTTGAAACTAATGAGAAATCTCCGTATTGCTTTCAAATGCCCCATATCTCCATGATTCTTAGATCAATCAAAGCGCAAATGAGCTCTTTGATGATGCGTTCGTTTAAAAATCCATTTTTGAAGAAATTTTAATTTCATTTAGGCGGATGTTTTCTTTTGGCAAGTTTTTTTGATGATTTCAATCAATAGCGTCAATCTCACAAAAAAAGTTTGTATACTTTTGTTAAGAGAACAGCAATAGAACCATAAATGAAAAGTTTAACAGAGAAATGTGAAAAAAAAACTGTAGGCGTTTTTCTAATTTTTTTTCCCCAAAACATTTGTGTTCGTCACATTCTAAGCGTTGATGACAAGATGCTCATTTTTTTGTGAAATCGCAACAGCCATTCGAGAATTGTTGTCGCATTTTCAAAATGAGTGACAACTTTACGCCTCGAATTAGACGGAAACCAGACGGAAGGGAATTGTAGAACATGAACAACGACATGGATATGGACAAAAAGTGAACTCATTCCTCGTTATGATGGCTGTGGAGAACTGTTTTAGAAACGCAATATCATCATCAGCAGCAGCGGCAGAAATTTAATTTCTTGAAAGTAGAGAAAAAAAGGCAACAGCCAATGTATGTCTGTCAGTCAGACAGACAGCCAGTGAGTCTGTCGTTCCGTCTGTGCATTTATCCATTCATCGTTATACGTTTGTCTGTTTTCCACATCAAAAGAAACATATTAAATGGCACGTAACCTAAGAGAACTACTCTGGTACTTGCTGGCATTATCATCATCAACATCGCCTTCCTCATCATCATCACATCGAGTTCAATAGCCTACATAAAGTACCTAAACAAGTACCCGCAGCAAACGGCAACCATAGGCGGGCTACATGCCCGGTTTCGTTCTATATCTCATTTTTTCAGCACTTCTTTTGCAAAGGAACATTTTTGCCTTTTTGGCCAAATTCAAGTTCATGACATTTGTCATAAATGGAGAAAATCATAAAAACTTCACATGAAGGGAGGTACTGTTGGCTTTTTTTGGCCTTAAATTGTTGGCACTCTTACAAATATATTTCGTTTTTTTTTTTCTACGAAAATTCCCCTCCATTTATGTTTTATAACTCCAAACTTT